GGCGGTGCCTGACCCAGCCCTGCCGAGCTGACAGCAAGGTCAGCCCCTCTCCCACCAGCCTGTTTTTGGACACCTGCCCCGATTCAAGGGGAATTAGGGACGGCTCCCGTGTCTCAAGTGACTCTTGCTAGGCACAGGTACAGAGAGATTTGTGTTCCTGAGTTCTGGACAAACAAGTTTTCACCCCCGAGGCAAAATACAAGCTCTTGCAACYTGGGGAGATGCTTTTCCCTGGAACTCAGTGTAATTTTAAAAAGTAACAACACAGGGATTTCTCCAAAGACTAAACACTTGCTCACACGCCAAGAAAAACAAACTGGTTGACCTCTTAAATAGTGCTGCCTGCTAAGATCTGTGGCAGCACAGAGAATGTGCACTTGGGCTCTGAGATGTTGCAGAAGCGTGGGAACAGTCCTGGCCTCCCAGATTACAGGTTTTCTTTGGTCATGTTCACACAGGTGGAAAAAGATGAGTTTCTGTAAATGCCAGCACAAAGGGACAGTACCCAGTGTGACAGCAGTAACGTACATGTCATGGAAAAATGGATGCTGGGTTCTAAGTGATCTTAAGTTGGAACAGCCAAAACTGCCTCTCTTTAACTCAAGAGTGATGATGGGAAAATGGAAATTTGAAACATTTCCAGATATTAAGTGCTTTTGCATTTATTTTTGGCCAATGAGATGCTCAGCTTGCCTGTGGGGGTTGTGTTTTGTAACTCTTCCAGGAAAATAAGCACGAGGAGAAGGTCCAGGATCCCGACAGAGAGAAGGACGAGCCCAAGGCAGACATGGGGAGCAAAAGTTGGGCAGAGCTGGCTGGGGAGATGAAGATATTCCTGTGGAACCCGGAGGAGAGAACATGCCTGGGGAGAACAGCCAAGAGCTGGGGTAGGTCCTTGATCAAGCCCCACTCTTGGGGATTGCTGCCTTTTCTGCTTCACAACAGATTCACTTGCCTGTGAATGTCCTTGATAGCTCAGACTGACCACCCCGGCCCATTTTTTTAGTGTTAATGTTTCTAAACAGTGCAATAAAGAACTAGAGAGGAGGACAAGCAGAAAACCATGTAAAGACCTTGGTCTGGATGTTAGTGTTGACTAAGAATGTGAAAGCAAAAGTTTCAGGCTGCCCAGACTGTGTCCTGGAAAGAAGTTTAGAGGCTGAGCAAGCAGTGGGGCTGCAGGTCACTCTGCACCCCTGCTGCCACCAGCAATCCTGCTCCTGTGTAAGGCAGGAGCCCCAGGGACGGTGGCTTTGGGGACATCAGGTTGGTGGGAGCAGAGTGCCTGGGCTGCAGGGCAGGTGTTCTGTGGAGGGTGCACACACAGGGCAGAGCCTGCCTGGTGAGCCCTGGCTCTGGGAATGGAAAGGAAGGACAGAGCTGATCATCACTGTCACCCCACAGCTTCCCAGGGAGAGCCAAGGTGCCCATAGCAGAGCCCGTGGTGCTGGGATGTGCCAGCTCTGAGGGCTCTGAGTGCCCTGTGCTTTATCCACATCCATGTGGCCTTCGGGATTTATTACTGGAGGTGCCCAGGGTGGTCCAGAGCTGCCTGTGGGGTGAGCTCTGCTGCAGGCTCACTCCAAAACCAAGGTGCCACAGCACAGGCGGTGCCAAACAACTCTGCAGCTCTGCTCTGCCAGCACACAGCCCCCCTGGCAGAGTGAAAATCCCAGCCTGACCCAGAGCYCCTGCRCAGCCATYRGTGTCAGGCTGTGAACTACCAGCTYGGTGTTTGCAGCCTTTGGCTGGCACTGGSCATGAGCCACAAGCCCCACAGCCCACCTGGGTCCCTGCCAGGGCTCAGAGTCTCCTGCAAAGCCTGTGGTGACAGCTGGGAGAAACAAAAGAAGCTGCCACCATCACCAGAGAGTCTGAAAACCTGCAAGCTTTGGCCTGGGACAGACCTTGATGTTGCTGTTCCTGTGCTCTTTGCTGGCCACAGAGGCAGAACAGTTTTCCTGCTTCCTTGCTGGATGGGAAGGCACAGACTGAAGTGTGGGAGCAGTTCTTAGTGGTGTGGGTTTGGATTTCTGGAGGCTCTGGCAGGTGCTGAKAAGGTCCCTGTGAGAGGATTTGCTCAGTTTGGGGTGGATTTGACCCTGGCTGGCAGCACTGGGGTGGGTGCAGCATCCTCCTGCCCCCGTGCTCTGCTAATGACCCCCCTGCCCATGAACACCGTGTCCTTGGTGCACAAAAGTGCTCTACAGGTGGGCAGGAGAAGCTAATATGAAAATCAAAATTTCTCTTCAAGTGAGAGCATTTAGAGGTGAGTGGAGCTGAACTTTCCCACTCTCATCTCGTGGGTGAGGAGAGGGGAATTTGCCCAGCCTGGGCTGCTGCCCTGAAGGTGTCCCTGGGATGGGGGCTCAGGGCACTGGCACTCACCAAAAGCAGAGGGACAGGTGGCCACAGRGTCATCACTGGAGGCCCCAGCCCCTGGGAAAGGCTGCACCCCCCTCTCTGCTAGTGACAACACTCCCTGCTGCACTGCAGGAAACATAAAAATGGGAGCAGTGGAGGGGAGATGCCCCAACAAACATCATCTTGGTGCCCCAGAAGCAGCTCCAGCTCTGCCAGGCTGGGCCAGAGGCACTATCCAGCATCACAGTGGCCACCAGCAGCAGCGATGGTCCCATGTGCCCCGGCTCAGCCCGCAGCAGGACACAGCCCTGCAGAGCTTCCCAGCACGGTGGCCCCGGCAGGAGAGCACATCTGTGTTCCCAGGGCTCCCCCCGAGCTGCGGGAATGTTCCTCCTGGGAAATATTTGGGTTAGGGCTTCRCTTTGCTTTCTGAGCCGCTGGGTTTTATTCATAGGCTGGGGCCTCTTGAGACATCCTCAGCCATCAGGCTGGTCCAGAGGAAAAACAAACCCATTCCTGAATGTCCGGGTTATGGAACAGGCAGTGGTGCTGCAGCCCTGAGCGATGCTGCCCTGGGCTCCCTCCCATGTAGGGGACGGAATCAGGGCAGGAGCATCACCCCAGAGCCCCACCAGGAGTGTGGAGGTGCTTTTACATATTACAGTGACAAGAGGGGGTGGGAAGGGCAGCAGGAATGTTGGATCCATCTGTCAGCAGAGCTGGGCAGGTGGACACACAGAGCTGGTCCTGACACAGCCCTGGGAAGGGCCATCAGCAAAAGGGACAAACAGCAGAGCCCTGGAGCAGCAGGGGCTGTGTGCGGGGCTGGGGCTGAGCTCCCACCTCCAGCACGGACTCAGCTCTGCCGAGGACGCTGTGCCGAGCACGTCTGTGCATCCCCGTGGGCCTCATCCCACGGGACGTGCTCCGGTTGCCTTAACAGCCACATGCCTGTCTCTTTGCAGGCTTGATCCTCCTGTTTTATTTCATCTTCTACACGTGCCTGGCGGGGATGTTTGCCTTCTGCCTGTAYGCCATGCTGCTCACGCTGAGCCCCTACACACCCAGGTTCCGGGACCGCGTGTCTCCGCCAGGTATGTCCCCTGCCAGCCTGGCCTCGGGCACCTCTGCCCAGCTGTGTCCTGCCAAAATGGCACGGCTGGGACCTCAGCAAAGCCCTGCTGGAGCTGTGCACTCCTTCAGTCACCCAGGCCTCCCTAACACGGGCTGTTCTCACCTCAGGCCRCTGGCAGAGCTGCAGGTTCTCTGCAGAGGATCAGACATCCTAAAAAGCCCCATGGGAAGCATTCACSCTGATGGTATTAATTGTTATTCTAATTGCACTAGTTTTTGTTATCATTATTCTCAAGGTAMAAGCCAAGTTTAGGCATTTCATGGGTGATGCAGATGTATTTAACTGCTGGCTGGTCCTTTATACCTCATGCCTTCAAAATAAAATGCAAATCAAGAGTAGCTTTTATGCATTGTTATTTGGGGGATTTCTGGCAAGAGAATGTTCAGAAAACCCTTTCCCGTGTCAGACACAGCATTTTCCCCATGTTGGTGGAGAACACAAGGGCCCCTCACCCTGCTCCCTGTCTGGACCTGGGGAACACATAGGGAACAAACACAACTGTGAACACACAGCACCAGCAGCCACTCTGTGCAACCCCAAGCCCATCACTAACCCACAACACTACGGAGATTCTCCATATCTCCCATGTTTCCTGGGATATTTTATGCAGTGTTGTCACCAAAAGTGTCCTCCAGGGGTGAAATGAAGGTGAGGGATCAGGAGGTTGAGGASAGCGTTGATCTGTGAGCTGGTGCTGCCTCTCTCGTCCTTGTGCCCAGCCCCAAGCCCAGCAGCAGCACACCAAACACAGCCCAAGCCCACGGCTCGTCCCCCCACGTTTGCTTTATCAGGGTGTGTCTCCTTCAGGAGTGATGATCAGACCGTACTTGAACGGCTTCACCATCGCCTTCAACGTGTCCCAGCCCAGCACGTGGCAGCCCTACGTGGACAGCATGCACCACTTCCTGGCAGGTGAGCTCTTTRGCACTCTGGCAGTCACAGTGGAATTGTTTTTATCTGTGGATACACAGAGGAGGTGCAGGGCTCTCCTCCTGGGCATCTCACGAGCCCCATCTGGACACGGAGGCTCCAAGGTCATGGGAGCTCCTGTGGGAGGGAAATTTGCCTTTCCAGGTGTGATTTCCTCATGCCCTTGGCATGTGGATTGTCCCCTGAAGGTTTGGGTCTGTGCAGGGGGATTTTAACAAGGCTTTTGCTCCCCACCAGCTTATGATGACAAAGTTCAAGAGGAGAAGAATATCGAGTGTGTCCCAGGACAGTATTTCATCCAGGGGGGATATGACAGCGTGGAGAAGAAGGCCTGCCAGTTCAAGCGCTCGCTGCTGCAGAACTGCTCTGGCATCGAGGACCCAACGTTTGGCTTCTCAAAAGGGCAGCCCTGCATCCTGCTGAAGATGAACCGGGTACAGAGAAAGCTGCCGGGTTTATCTCCTTCTTTTAGGGCATCCCAGTGTGATGAAGGCCACAAGGGACTGAAACTCCTTCACTTCTCAGGCCCAGGAAAAAAGGGAACGAGAACCCCCAAATCTGCTGGTCATATCTGCTAGAAAATATAAAAAAGGAACACTACAAAATTTACTCAATTTGATTTGCTGAGGCCTTAGTGCTTGAAGGATCTTCTGCCAGGCCCTTCTTCAGGAGGAACTGAGCTTTAGGGGAGCACCCCAGGCCCCAGCTGCTTTATAATGGGAGCTTTCCTAGAATTTAATTTATTTGAAGTCTAATAGCATGATGGCTCAGTGCTCACTGCTGGGAAAATAAGCACGGGGGGGATCTGAGCTGTGTGGGGAGGAGGCTGTGTTACTCCAGGGTGTCTGGACTCCCTCTGTGTGCTCTGCTCTATCCCTGCTCTCAAGCTGTGATCTGACACTCAGCCATGGCTGCACTTTGTGGGGTGGCAGACTCTGCTGAGGGACACAGATCCTGTCCTGAGCACTGTGACTGGCACCCAGAAAGGTTCAAGYCCTGGAGAAGGGAGGCAGCACATGCCTGGCACTGCATTTCATATGAACATAAATGTTTTTTGCTTTTGCAGATCATAGGGTACCACCCTGGTGCCGGGGCCCCGGTGAGCGTGGACTGCAAAGTGCAGGTACAGCTTTCCTCCGTGCTTGGCAACGTGGTGGGTACAGGGCCAAACATCTCCTCCTGATGGACCTCAGCACAATTCCTCCTCATTTTAGCCCCAAACACAGCACCCAGCACTGCCCATGTATCTGGGAGTTTGCTGAGAGTGAGAGGTCTCCGGTCTCCTGCTTCCCACGTGGCTCCTGCAGCCTCACTCAGTACTCTGCTCAGCCCCTGGGGCAGCCTGGAGCTCAGTGGGAACATGTGGGAACTGCTCACATCCATCTCCAGCTGCTGCACAGCACCCTCAGCCCTGGGGCTCCCTGCAAGCCAGCATTAATGGGGTGAAGGAAGGGCTCCAACAGCAATGGGGTGAAGGAAGGG